CATGCCAAAATTCAGCTAGTTTTATGCACTTTCAAAAATGGCCGAAAAATCTAGGGGACGTTCTTGCACGCGGCCTTTCAATTATCCATGCATTAAAACCATTTCATTGACATGACACGCAGAGACAACAAAGGAAATTCCTCTCTGCACATGATCATCGCGTGAGGCAGTTGATGACCTTTGCTATGTTCTCAGAAGCAAACATACTGACTACCATCTATTAATCTGGCTTTTAAACTTCAAAATTCCTACTTGTAAATGTGGCTCTCACTCACAAAGTGTAACACATTTCCATTGCCGACTCTTGAGATAATTTTCACCATAAGCAATAAAATGCAAAGCACTGCATTCAACAATGTACATGTATGTGTACAAACATCACATGTTATTAAACCCCAAACAATCAGTAACCAATCAGGTTGTTTTTTCATGCATTCTGGAAAAATCACGTGGCTGTGAACACAATTATCATTGCCAAAACACACACACACCCTTCTTCTGATTTTTCTTTAGGAGGGTGGGTGGCTGTACACATGCCAATAACATCTGGGACTGATAAAAATGGAACATGGAAAGTGTTAATGATGCAAACACTTCATTTTTATAAAAAATTTATTTTGGCCTGAGGGAAAGCTTAAGTCTTTTATTTTCCTTTCAAGAACCCTATAATACTGCATTTTCTGATCTCTTGTTTTCTTTAACTATGTTTTCCAGGTTTAATGAAAAAGACTGGTAAATTAGTATTCTTAGGACTAGACAATGCGGGTAAAACAACCTTACTACACATGCTGAAGGATGATCGTATGGCACAACATGTTCCTACTCTTCATCCAAGTAAGTGTTTATGATACAAGTAGTTTTATGGATCCAGCTACAGCTGTAAGCTCTTGAGCTGATGTTATTGTTTTGATTCATAGCATCAGAGGAATTGTCTATGGGTGGCATGAAGTTTACAACGTTTGATCTAGGAGGTCATAAGCAAGGTACAGTGATGTAGGATGTACAAATAATTATACTGTAGTGAGTAGTGATTCAT